TATAATTCATTAAAGTTTGTGCAAATCGTCTAAATATAATGAAGATAATTTGTCATTATCTGAAGGTTAACAAATTTTTTTTAACCACCATTACTTTTGCTTACTAGATTTTAATTTAATTAGTTTTCCAATTTTCTGTTGATAAAAAACACATACAACTTTTAAACTTAATATTCATTAGTCCGCCATTTGTACATTTTAATTTGTGCAATAAAGCTTAAATAAATAAACTGTTTCCCAGCGTTTTTATATAGTTTTATTGACATTTCGGATCCTTTACTGGTGCCGTGTTCACATAAGACTTAATATGTGAACACGGAACCTGTAAAGGGTCCGAAATGTCAATAAAAATAAATACAAACGATGAAACCGTTTAAAATTTGTTTGATTTATGGATAGTGCGCGTGAAAATATTAGAAATCAATAAAACATATAAACTTAAATCTTTTCTAACAAAAAACATATCATCATAATCTTAACAAAAGTACTGTCGGATATTTGTGGGCGCACACAAAAAATATTCTTTTTCGTTTTTCCTGAAAAATAACACTTGAAAATAATACGTAAATAATTTAGTATTAATAAATGAAGGTTCTGAGAAGGTTAAAATGAATAAATTATTTAGAAAGCGAAACGAAGACATTCCTTTTCAATATTGAACTTTCAAATAAATTTAATTAAGCGAAAGAAAACGTTAGATTTCACTAAATAAATTATTCAAGCGTATTATACTGGACACTTCCTTCGTTTGAAATACAGAAATGAATAAAATATCACTGGGACAACCAAAGTTGCGCTCTGTTTTCCTTACCAGTGAAGATCAGGTGGTTATCGAAAGAGGTTACTGTCTTCGATATTGACCCTTATATGTTAACCAATAAGAACTTAACCCTTTTACTGAAATGCATTAGAAGAGATTTATTCACATATTAGGGTACAATTGAAATTAAAATAAAAAATTCAGTGATTTTTTTTCCAGGGTGGCTTAATAGTTGTCAGTGTCTTAGTGTCAACTTAGATACTTCTATTTGGTCATTGCCAATGTCCTACAAAGAGACAAATAGGTCAATGAAATAGGTCAATCAATGAATATGATAAAAAACAAGTTTATTTAATGTTTTTATTAAAGATAAATTATAATTGCTATGAAATCGACACACAGTCATCAATTTTTTTTTTATGTATCTACAGAGGGAGCGGATTCAGAGCCAGTAGAAATTGCAGATGTCTGGTGTAAGGAAGTTGTACTATTCGTAGTAGAATACTCATCTTCTTTAATTGAATAGTTATTAGCTATATCATCTTCAGACTCTAAATAATACGGTACACCAATCCGTTCAACAATCTCTCTCGTAGATATTTTTTTTACAATTACGATATATCCGAAAAGGAATGTATTATCTGGCATTAGCAAATATTTTGCCATTAGTATATTCTTCAGTGAGGCATATACTAGTGGCAAAATACAAAATGTTTACGTACATTTAAATTTCTAGTAAATAAATAAAAAAGATAAATATAACATAATTTAGAACAAAGCCTAAGCTTAATTAAAATATACGAGCACTTACGATTCTCACGGTGATTTCGGATGTTTGAAATGTTTGATGATTTATTTATCGAATAGGTTGTTGTGATCACATGGCGGCAAACGTCAAAACAAAGCTTACTTTAAAATAGGTTGTACCACAGAACATAGATTGTACATAATTTTCCGATGTTTAACATAGTTGGCGTAAGACATCAATGATAAAAAAGTTCACATTTATCTAATGATTTATTAAAATATCTGCTAGTAAATATACCAGCGAAAGGTTAAAAGACTTCCTGAGTATCTTGTTCTTAGTTCTCTTGAAAAACTTTGGGTCGTTTATCGCACGTATAATCATAAATCTTGTGGCGAATTATTGCGAAAATCCAAAAAGTTAGAACCTTAATTGTTCAACTTACCAAATAAGAATAATTATTATTGTGGTTTAAATATTATGAAAGGAAGAATAAACGCTATTTATCAAAATAAATATTCAGTTAAACTCGATACCCAATTATATTTTGACATTTTAACAGAGATGAGTCGATGCTATTGTTCATGTGTTATTTGATATTTATCATAGTCACTAAAATTAATAACTATGTTTATTTCTTTGAACTACACAATTCAAATGCCGAATATTCGCTTAAATATGGAATTACTAATCTGTATCGTTGGACTTTATTACAGCTATCTACTCTTGTTTTTACGTTTACAACTTCCTTTGTAGACTGTAGGCCCATAGTCATCTAAATAAAAAAAAGTCTATTAAGAATGCGTTCCTCTTTTGTTTTTCTTAGATTTGATAATTTTGACATTAGAGGTTCAAAACTATTTTTAACCGATGAATAATCGGAGTTTCTCAATTCAACACATATATTTCTTTTATGTTATTTTTCTCATGTTGCTTTACTAACACCAAAAACACAACTGATATGATACATGTACGAAAAAAATATGGCTGTAGAATGCCAAAAGAGTTTACGACTCTGTCATATGCTATTCGGATCTTTCTAAAATATTCATACGGACATGCACAAAAAACCCAGTTCCCCTAGAAAGTAATACATAAATCGTACGAGCAAAACTTTCAGCCAGATGGTTACATCGAAGTCAAAGGAGTTATATTCATATTTATATGAATATATCTCCTGAATATAGCTGAGAAATTTCTGGAAAATGTAATCGTTAGCGTACAAAAAAGTGGATTTTACTAAATTGCACAATAATTGTAGCATTAATAGTATTGAAAAAGTAAAAAGTGCTTGAAAAATTCCACAGTCCTGTTAGCTCCTGGGTAGCTCAGTGATTAAAGCAGTGGCCCGGATTGCGAAAGGTCATGGATTCGAGTCCCATCTCAGAGTGCCAAGGTAGACTTTTTCACCGGTTTTCTTTCTGTATTTTTGATAATATAATATTTTACTAATGGCTACGGAATATTGAAGAGATGTAATAAATAATAAATTTACTTATCCACATAAATGATTGACACAATACAAGAACAGTTATACAACAAATGTTGATTTACTTCTCACTTTACGACGTCTTGAGTCAGCTCATTAATAAAAATTATTTATGACTAAAAGAACTATGAGTACCCAGTGGCTTACCCATCTGAAACTGCATTCGTTTGAGAGATGTAGTATTTTGATTATCATTACGTCATCGATCCACTCCAGTAATTGCTTTAGCAAAGATAAGCATAAATTCCAACGACAAGACAAAAATAGTTACTTCTATAGCGGTACCCGTAAAGGTAACAGCAAAATGGTCGCCTATCTAAAGTTGCATATTTATTCCTGCAATCTGTTTTAACGACTTGCACGGAATGATAAGCAGCTGACCAAGAGGTCACTGTTGATATGAAGATTCCAAAGGTTTACGTTATGTTACATACATTGCGTAATTTAAACAGGCTTTGCGAATATTCACTCTTAAAGAGTATAGTATATGTCCTCTTTGTGGTCTTTAAAAATGTGTCTTTTATCTAAGATAGTCGGTTGATTTTAATCTGTAAATTTATATGTTCAAAACTGAATGCAAATCTTTGGCCTTTAGTAGCAACTTTTATGTGACGAAAAATTTATCAGCCGTGTTGCGTCCCCACTGCAGGAGTTCAGGCCTTCTTTGTGAATGGTTAAGGAGGACGGACTATAACTTTCCACACTAGCTCAATGCAGATTAGAGGTTATTAATGAAACCGGGATCATCGGCTTAACGTGTCTTATGAGGTACGGAGTATCTCTTGATAATAATTTTTAGTCACTATCCCGTGATCGACCTTTGCCAAAGTTACTTATCAACAATGCTCACGCACGGGCTGCGCACTTGTCCACTATGCCACCCGCGCTACTCAAACAATTATCTTACAAAAATAAGTCAACACGTATAAATTTGAAGTTTTCTCTTTTGTCATTGTCAATTTGCTTTAGGTGGTTAATTGTTAAACAAAGTATTAATTTATCATGCAGACCCAGTGCAGATTGGTGGGTATTAGCTACTTCAGATGCAGTGAAAAGCCAACGGCATGGCGGGGCTACTGAAGCACAAAGCTTAGGTTAGTAAATTTCGGTCACCCATCCATTGACCCGCTGTCACAGAAACTGTTAACTTAATTTGCACTGTCTTTATTTCCATTAATATACAAAGCGTTATAATTATAGTTAACATCATTATGAATTACAACATTTTATTTTGGCTTTATAGCATTAAACTGATTTAAAATACTACAGTAGTATAACTTGATATTAGAGTTTTATTAGGTTTAACTTCTTATGGTTAAATGAGGAAAAGCTAGCTTTTATATAATAAAATAAATAATTATATTTGTTTACCCGTTTCTATAATCCTGTTTGTGAACCATAACAAACAAATAAGGAAACAATTCGTCTGTTATTTTAAGAATCTAATAGCTGATCGCCTGTTATCGGATTTTATTTACTTTTAACTACAGACAAATATAAACTTCTCATTGATACTACGAGGAAGATAAATATAATATTACAATAAAAAAAACACATAAAATTTATAACAAAAAATATTTGCAAACTATAAATTGAGAAATTGTATATCGAGCTACTATGTGTAATAAAAATTCCGCACCAGCTACGAGTTACTTCGAAATTCCGTTATATTCAGTAAATGTAAGATAGGCTCAGTTCTAACTTCATAGATTCCAAGAGCTGAGAGTATGATCTAGATTTATTTAAAATAGATTCTAAGAGCTGAGAGTATGATCTAGATTTATTTAAAAAATTGAACAGAATTTCCATGAAATTATTGACCAGAAATATTATTTAGAATTGAAGCAGGACTTGTGAATCTGGTACTCAGCTTATAACGTTTGTCATAATAAAGCTGTGTAAAAGTTTAATAAGTTTATTCTTGTATACGGTTTAAAATATATCTATAAAAATATTAAGTTATACAGTTGATTAAGGTATAATAGTCTATAATTTAATGTACTTACCACATAAAGTAATTAGAGATAGTAACTTCATTTTGATGCTTTTATAGAGCTTCGACCAAAATTACATAGGTAGTACATATACGTGCGATAGGCAAATATCAAATGTAATAAATAGTGAGTTCACGAACACTGATAATAAAAAAATACAGTCACATCATCAACAAATTGATCCACACCATGAACAGCGTCCAAACTTGAAAAACGTTTTCACTGTATGCCATTTTATTTTTTAATAACACAAAAAAGTTTTATTAACGTTTAGATAGATAAAGTCACAGAAAAAAGTTTGACTTGTACAACTTGAATTTTTAAATTTCGAACGCTCGATGGAATGTTTCGAAGTCACCGATTACGTTCGTATTCCATATTTGAATGGCGCGCCCGTGCGAGCGTGCTACCCGCTCGCGGGTTGTCCGCCGAATGTCCTTGGTTTTTCGCGCTAGGTTCACGTCATGCGCACTGTGAACTCACCCTAAAGGGTCCTTAAGTGGATTAAGTTTTTAAACTTAGACAATTGATAAAATGAGATCCAGTTTATTAGGATGGAATTGTTAAGTGAAAAGTTCGCGATCAAGGACTTCCGTGTCCCAAACATACATTTTTAATTTACAAACAACGAATGATGGATTACGCTAAGGCGCCGTCAAAAAGTTCATTATAATAATCTCTTTCTAATATTTTTTATCTTTCTCCTGCCATTCCATATTAATTCGTATCCTATTCAAAAGGAATTTGATCATTTGGCACGACTTATAGAAATGTCACTGACTATTCAATGTTGTAATTACAGTGAGATTTAAAACTTTAAATTTATTATCTAGGTCGTATAGGTCATCTACCCGCACACAGCTAGGTCAAAAACTATCAGTAATAAAAAAGGCTTTAATTTGGACCAAGCATATTTACTAGTGCATTAATTCACATTGTTACGTAAAATAGAAACTTCAAATATTTTATAAGTATGTGACTTTCTTCTCTCATTCTCTTCTCTTTAGTCTTGGTACGAGTCAAGTATGTATGTTCCAACCAAGTGCTTGTTTCAGGATAAGTCGTTTTCCAATTAAAAGATTTACTTGAAAAATTATAAATTCCATTGACAAACTTTCAGTGGTAAAATAACAGTTTGTGTAAAATAAAAAAAAGCTTCGGATAACCTCGTGTTGTCAAAGATGAATTTAGCCGAGTTTCTCTAAATGAATTGTTACACACTTGAGCTAAAATTAAAATCAGAATATTTTAATAGCAATTAATTAAGCTGTCACATACAGAACAAAGGCACATATTTCGTTGGTGAAACAAAAACACCAGTCATAAGGCGCAAAACTCACTTTGCGTATATCATGTGAATGTTTTTACGCGAGATATAATACCAATCTATCGAAGTGGCATGTCATCAAACTACAATATTTTCTTCCGGGCCGAGAGTAAACAGTGGTGTAACTACATATAATAGGGTTGCCCCCGTCTTTCGTACGAGTACCAACAAACACGAGCAACGAAAGGAGTAAAAATAAATTTATTTCTTACACATCATTCAGGTGCGGAAAACGTACCCGGTGTCTCGTAAACTTCGCCTACTTTACGCCCATATGATCCTGGAATTTCATAGGTGTCAAATAACAAGAAGTTAGTGCGTCATCTTCCATCTCGCAGAAGAAAAACGATTTATTTTGTGACGATGAAAGTTCTACCTGTAGACTACGCCGATATTTTGCTCATAAAGATTTCATGCACGTATTGTCTTAATTTTTCTTATTATTTTTCTGATACCAATTCATAGAATATAAATATAAGATAACATCGTTTATATTGATCCCCAGTAGCTAGCCCTGGATTTGTGAAAATTTTATACAACAGACCTCCGTTGAATTGGTTGGTAGATATTTGGCTGGTACCTACCACAACACCTAAGGCAATATACAATAGTGGTATTTTCTATTGGCACGATTGGGACCAAAATTTTAGAGATGGTGATACTATGAAATTAGATTGTAAGCCGCTGGATAAGGTGTATACTTTTTTATCATAGTTTTTTCTTTGTAAGCTACGAAACGGTATTTGAAATCTTAATGTTTTATTAGTATTTTAGAAGTCTCAGAAAATGTGTACGCAAAGCATATGTATTTAGGAACCTTATGGTTGGAGGTGTTGGTTCCTACTTGATCACGGAGACAACTGGTCAGGGAGACTAAAGGATAATTGTCTCCCTCCGAGCTAGGTGTTGTTAGCCCGGGGACCGCGGTCCAATCGATGTAGGTTGGACGTTCTATTTATGTTAATTGGTAATGAAACTTATTCTGTGTGATGTAGGTTTCTTTGTTCTAAATGTCTTCTAGTTATTAATTTATGATGTTTGCTATCGATTATTGTGGCGACGTTAGTGCGATGAGTTAGATGTCGCTATGTATCAGTCGCCGCATGTAAAATTAAAATAATAAACTTAATTGACTAAATATAATTATTAGAACACATTTTCATCTTTATCGAAAGTTCATAAAGAAATATTTGTAAAAATATTTCTTTCGGCTGTTTGGGTGGATTGCCTGAACATTGATGAAATACGCTCTGTGGTAGCGAAAAAGAAACAATCATCATCTTGAAAAATTCATCAGTCCTGTTAGGTCCCGTTTAGCTTAGTGGTTAGAGCAGTCACCCGGATAGCGAAAGGTCATGGGTTCGAGTCCCATCTCAGAGAGCCAGGGACAAAGTGGATTTTTTAGCATTTCTCAATAAGAAAATTTTTCAGTATGGCATTGTGAATGCAAAAATGATCAAATATAATAATAAACTTATAAAATATTATAATTAGATGCTTTGGTGATTGAAACTTTTCAAAAATAGTGGTTAAAAGGCAAACATGTTGTATAAGAGTACCTACCGAGACCAAAAAGTATTGAGATCTATAAGCTGCATACGAACAGACGTATCGCTGTGGTCGCTCTTTTGCAGTGTTATTTTATTGGCCATCAAAGTGTTCGTTCAGACACGATCGGAATAATTGGATTCCGTTCTGTCGCAAATTCTGCCACCAATGAAATCAATTCGGGAAATTGGCAGGGAAGATTTTTTATTGATGTCATTGGTAATTCAACATTTTATAATAACATGATTAGTACACTACTAAAGACCCAAAGCGTCTTTTCTATCTACGATTCATGATATACAGCGATTTTTAAAAATATTTTTTTTTTTGGATTAATCTAAGTGTTATATTCAACTATGCTTTTTTTGTGTAATAATAAATTAGTGAAAATGGTGCTCTACGGTTGAGTAGTTAATGGGTTTGATCTTCGATGCGGCAGTTAAGCATCTTTTGTGGGGCTTCTATCATAAGATAGGTGACCAAAAATTATTATCTCGAGGTTCTCCGTGCTATGGAAGCCATCGGATGTCTGTATATGAAGTCGTTAACATCCCCACACCCCCACAGAGCCCGCGTGGTGGGTGATAGCCCATTCAGCCTTTCCGTTTCGATTGCTTCCCGAAAGGCTTTGCCCCGAATATTAACAAGCTGATGATGATAATGACTTAATTATGTGATAGATCTCTATAATTTTGTGATAATGATGTCAATACCACCAAACCAAAACAATTTTAAGAATCTTTTAAGACTTTTATAAAACATTACTGACAGAATGTTAAACAATTTTGTTGATTATAAACCACATTACGAAGAACCGAACCAATAATTAAAAAAGTTTCAAGTTTAAAATATCGTCAGTGCTTTGCGTACTTCCAGATGGATAAATCTCTTTCTTTGTAAAAATGTTTATTCTGTAAACCTATCTACGTTGCAAGAATTCTTTATGTCTGATGAAAATACAGTAACCAGCGGAGATGCTGGTATTTATGTCTGAGATCCAAGGCACGATCGTTAGATATGTTACTCGTCCCGGTGCTAGGTTCAACAGGGACTAAACGTAACGACGTTTGTGCTCTGCTCAGGCCATTTATACTGGCTGAGATTCTCTTTTAAAGCTGATAACCAAAACAATTGAATGCGAAATGCTTTGTATTGTCGCTTGTGCCAAATTGTAGAAATATCGAACCAAACAGGTAACATTATATAGCGAGTTCCAATTTAAATATTAGGTGTTAAAGTATGAAATTGCCATTTTATTAGAATAGGTTCCTTGAATCAACATAGAATCTACACGGTTAAAGGTTTTCGAAAGAAATTCTTCTTTTAAAAAATATGTAACATTTTAATATCGACTTTCAATTGTTTTTGTTATTCAACTTATTGTTAGACAAGAAAGATGGATACAAGTACCGACACGGCAGAAACAACCCGCAATATCAATGTTGCGTTTGGTGAGGGGTCTGCTAATTATAATAATAATCACTTTATTTCTGTCACAATAGCTACAAACGATCTTCTAACATGTGTAACGTTGTATTTTAAGAATAAATAATAAGAATAAAAATTAAAATAAACATCAAAATATAAGAAATTAAAAGCGTTATTTACAATACAGTGAATAATGAGACAGACACTTATCTAAACAAAATTTCAATTATTAAGAATAATGAAGTAAATAAATTGAGTTGGTTATAAACATTAAATGCAAGCGACGAGGGTTACGTCTCTAATGTTGATGCACATCACTTGAATGTTGAGTTTTTTTGCTATATCATTGTTTCGGTGGAGGAGCGCCGGCGACCGCTCGCCGACATACTAATTTTAGACGTTGGACGTGACGGCTGCCTCAATTGCTCCAAATTACTAAACAATTTTTTACGATATTTTCCACTAGGGTGAGTTTTAAGTATTTATCATTCAGTGTTTAATTGTAAGGTGTTTCAGTTTCATTTTAAAAGTCATCTAACACTAGTACTGATCCATATTTCCTGTTTATTGGAACGCTGTGTCTTTGGACTCACAAGGTCAACGGTTTTTTCAAATCTGCGTTTCATCTACTAATATTACCCGTCTCTCTGAACTTCCAGGAACTACGTACCTTATATAAACCATCCGAGGATGTCACCAGTTTTGTGAAATTAGCTGCAGCTATATATAAAAATTATTAAAAGGAAAAACGAAACTACTGGACCAGTACACCTGACTATTACGTATGAGCGCTAACGAGTTATTTTTTCTGAACGAGAATTGGAGGACCGTGATCTCAAGCATACCGGAGAAGACGAGGAGTTCAGGCCAGTGTTCTTTCCTACCTTATCTCAAATCGAAGTGTAAGGCGGCCACACAAAAATAATTGGAAATAAATGTATATTTTTTCTAATAAATTTGCATTATTCGAACCTACACCCTATCTGTGGCTATCTGGTCAGCTTGCACGACCAAGGGTCGCAATGTAATTGCATTAGACTTAAATCTAATTCATAAATGTCGTAGCCATTGTAAGAGAGCGAAACCTGTACTAGGAGAATTACACGCTTTGAACGCATCGTGCGATTTCGGTTT